TAAAAAAATATAAGAAATATAGAAAAGTAAAAATAAAAGAAAAAGTTTAAATAAATATTACTGCGCTAAAAATATAACGTGATATATTGATGAAAAGTAGAATGGTAACAATATCTATAAATAGATAACAATCTATATTAAGTAAAAAATAATATATATATTGTTTTTTACTATTTAAATTCAAGTTAAAATAATATAATTGGATAAAGATATAAATTATTACTATTGGATAAAATATAAAAAAATTTAAAAGTGAAAAATATTAGAAAGAATATTACTATACTTGAAAATAATATAGTAATGATGATAAAAAATAAAATATTAATAATATCAATACAGTCAAATTTCTTTATAGTTATCACTCTTAGGAAAGCAAAATTTGATAATTATAAAGGGATTTGACTGTATAATAAAAAAAATTCTTTTATAGTTATATTCTCTCTATGATTATTAAAATTTATTTTTCTGGAAATAATAACTATAAAAAGATTTAATTATATTATTATATTTTTTAAGTTTATTATTAAAAATTTGATTTTATTTTAGCTAGTTATAATATAAATTACTTACCTTAAATAATTTAATATTTATTAAAAATTCTTTTAATAATAATTATTATTATTTTTTATTATAAAAATATTCAAAATAATAATATTATTAAATTTGATAATATACTTATAAAAAAGTTATATATTAAAATTAGTATTGTTAACTGAATTATATTGAATATAATTTAATACTGCACCATTGGATTACTGAACTTAGTAATTTTATAAATTCAATATAATTTAGTTCAATAATTTCTAATTACTAAATATAGTAACATGACAATACTGATTAAAATATATTTTTGTTTTTTAAATTAATAAATATAATAATAATTAAAAAAATAAAAAATTTATTAATAAAATATAATAAAAATACTGATTTTTTTCTTTATATAAAAATTTTTAGTTTTATTAATAAAAGTTTTTATTTTAGATTTAATTTGATAAAGTTATTTAATTACATATAAAATTAATAATTTTTTATAATTAAAATATATAAAAAATAAATTATTAATTTTATATGTAATTAAAATAATTTTGTCAAATTAAATCTAAAAATTTGAAAAAATATATTAAAATATATAATATTATTTTTAGTTCAATGTAAAAATCAAAAATATTTATTAGTAAAATTAAAATCTTTATATAAAAAACTCATATTTTTCATATTTTTACAATTGCTACTTTATATACAAATTATTTATTTTGAAATTATTAATTTTTATATGATATATAATATTTAAACTTATTAATAAATTTTATTTTATAAATTTTATAAAGTTTTTTATTAAGAAATTTAATTTGTAAATATAATATAATAAATCTTTTTGATTATATTTATGAATTAAATTTGTATTTAATTTTTATAAAAAAGTTTATAGAAATTATAAAATATAATATAGTCAAATTTCTCTATAATTATCACTTTTAGAAAAGCAAAATTTAATAACTATAAAAAAAATGTGATTATAAAGAAATTTTTTTACTATATTTATATATAAATAAAAAAGCAAAATGAAATGATTATAAAGAAATGTGACTATAAATGTGTGTAATTATAAAGAGATTTGACTATACTTTTTTTATATATAATTATCAGATTCAATAATAATTTTTATATAACTATAAAATAATAACTATAGATGAGTTTGATTATATTTTTTATAAAAATTATTAATTAATAAATAATAAAATAATCAAATTAAGAATTAAAAATAAAAAAATTAAAATTAAATAAAAAATCAAGAAATAATTAAATTAAAAATAATTTGATTAATAAATTGCAAATTAAAAAAAGAAATTTAAAAAACAATAAAAAAATTAATTAGTAACTAAATCATAAAAATTCATAAATAAATTTGATCTTGAAATTTGTTTCATATTGTATTTCATGTTTATCTATAAAATTACCAAGTATAACAATGTTATTCCTTTGAAATCAATTTCATTTATTTGCTATATCAATATTATTTAAAGCAATAAAAACAGTAACATATATTAGATAATATTTTAGGGAGTGAGGATAGAGCTGGATCTTAGGTGATACATAATTAAGCATTTTTGATTGGTTATAGTATCTTACCTGGGGATTGAACACTTTTATCAAAGTGATATTAGGTAATATATGTCAGTGTCCTAATAGCAACAATGTAATAAATAATATTTAAAAATAAAATTTGAATCCAATAAGCAACCGCGTAGAAAGTGACGTTAGAATTAGCGAATTTGTATTTAAATTAAATAAATAATATAATGCATATCTATTTTCTAATATATCAAATAATATTCAGATGCAACAAAAAGGCCTCCGAGCATCTAGTCACTTGCTGAAAATTTTTCTCGAAACCGTCTATTCCGCCGTAATACGGATCGCGTATGTATCGGTCTCCTTCTGGATCATAATCGCCAAATAGTTTTACTTTTTTTATATATAAGTAATCATATTTTAGTTCCCATTAAAATAAAAATATATATAATAATATAATATATAATATATATACCAATGGCTTTTGATCCTTTAGGTTTGATAGCTTCCAAAGTTGCTAAATTTGATTCGTCCATACACAGGATATAGTCGAATTCATGAAAATCTCCTTTTGTGATCTTTATTTTTTGAATCGAGGAAATTTCTTTTTAAATTAATCAAACAAAAATCGAAAGACCTAAGTTGAAAATTAAAAACAAAACCTGTCTTGCAAATGTGTTCACAGGAACATTATGTTTCTTGCATGTCTTTACAGATCGAGGATCTATTTTTATTTGACGAAAAAACAGTTTTCTCTACTCAAAATCGAAAGGATCATAGTTCACTATTCCAGAAATCAAAAAATTATTAAATTTTACCTGGAGGCGCTCCTACATGCCATTCACCAGTACCCGCACTATCAATTCGAAAAAAGTGACTCTTGCTTTTTAGTTTTATTGTATGCGCGAATACTGCTTCTGCCATTGGACTTTTACATCAAAAAAATTGCAAATTAACATTTGTTCTTTTTAGATAAAAATTGTATATTTATCTACACATACCTTCGGCAAATGTTTCCTATTTACAAATATAATATTGAGCTTGAATTCTTCAATTTTCATATGAAAAGCCCATTTACATTTGCTTATACAAAACTTGACTATAAATATCTACTTACCGAGACAAACAAACAACACGCTAATTTTTTGGTCAGCCATTTTCGTGAGAAACGTAAATTTTGTAGTCCAATCAGGCTTTTAAAACGATGATCCGTGTAACATAAATGTGAGCTATAATGCTAAAAAAAGATTCTGTCTGTGTTTAAAAAAATGTCAGAATCCCAACCCTCTTCAACATCATCCGACAATAGTGCAACATCAACAACAACAACAACAACAACAACAACAACAACAACAACAACAACAACAACAGAAAAGCCTTCCTTTTCATATATTCCTTACTCTTCCGAATTACAGTTACCAGGAATAATGTCGCTAATAGAGAATGATTTGTCAGAACCATACTCTATTTACACTTATCGATATTTTATTAATAACTGGCCTAATTTATGTTTTATGGTAGGTGGGTGAGGTTAATTACAGTATCGTGGGTCGATGAAAATTAGCAATTATCTCTCTATTTTTCATGATTTCTACTAATGCTGTTCGTTTTCCCGAAATATTATTAAAGACTATGGACCAAAATCAGTGTATAGGCGTGATAATTTGCAAGTTGGATCGGCATCGGCATAATAATGCATTGCGAGGTTATATTGCAATGTTGGCGGTAAAAAAAGAATATCGAAAGCAAAAGATCGGTTGGTATCATTTGTAGTAAAGATATGTATTATTTATTGATTCTTATTGATGACGGTGATTTGTCGTCTTTATCGTCTTCATTTCATAAGATCGATAATAACAATAATAATGGTAATTCATAATGAAATGGTAGGCACGACATTAGTAAGAATGGCTATCAATGTAATGAAGAGTCAAAACGCTGATGAGGTGATTATTATGTATTATCAATTTATAAAAAATTTTTATGGTATTTCTTGTATTGATTTGATGGCATGCTCACACTTTTTTTAGATTGTGCTTGAAACTGAACACACCAATGTTGGTGCACTTTCATTATACCAAAATCTGGGATTTATTAGAGACAAAAGATTATATCGGTACTATCTTAATGGCGTGGACGCATTTCGACTAAAATTGTTTTGTAGAGATGGCGTTGCAAGTGGAGCAGAAAATGACAATAATTTAAACAGAAATCAAGCATCAACATCAACAAAGGAAAATGATAGTTGTTTAAATAGTAGCAATATTAGAAATTAAAATTTTATCCAGAAAAAGAAAAAATATAATACATAATATGGGCAATGATAATTGCCCGGTAAAAAAAACGGCCAGCGTTCTGGAATACTTGAATATAAATTATTATGAATGCAGTATGCTATTAATTAGTAATAATAAAGAAGATTAAATTCATAAAAGAATGTTCATTATTTTTCGGTATCAGAAACATTCTCGGAAGAAGCGATAGACCCTTCAGGAGTAACATCAGTAACACCCCAAACCCTAATCGTTTTATCAAAACCACACGAGATCAATAGATCACGTTCTATATCAAACCATAAACTTTTTACTATCGATGTATGACCTTCTAGTCTCCCGATGATCTTTGCTGTTGCTACATCAAATATACAAATGTCACCTTTCGTGTCGTCAGTCACGTAAAAGTATTTTCCGCTCGGATGCCAACAATGACGCGGCGTGGAAAATTTATTGACCCGTGCGCCATAAAAATTTCGCACTTGAACGTCTGAATTGACGAGAAAGAGAATTTGGCGACCGGTTTCGTCGTCTGTTGATACTAGCAAGTATTTTCCATTGTTGTGCGGTGACGGAGAAATGTCCATTGGTGTGAAAGAAACCCATTCGTCACCATTCTCATTCATATTGTATTTTGTGTCTTGAAAATTCACGAGATCAACGTAATGTAGATAATTATCTTCGCGTACTCCAATCACCAAGGATTCATTATTTGGTAGAAAACAAAATGCTTCGACATTTCCAGTGAATATCATTGAATGAACTTTAGCGTATTTAATGTCAATTTGATTATTAAATGTTGGGCTTCGAGGACTTGCAGGAGATCTTGGAGTATTTGGAACTGTCGATGGAGGAAGCATTTTATAGAAATTGACAGTGTGATCATGAGAAGCAGTGGCAAACATTGATCCGTCAGGTGAGAATCGAGCATGTATAACATATTTCGAATGATCTTTAAAAGTCTGAAGAGTCTCATTCGTGTTAACATTCACCAACACCACTGTGGAATCCATTGATCCACTCAGCATCAGCGTGGGATAATCAGGATGAAAATCAACACATAATACGGGAGATTTATGAACTTGTAAAGTATTAAAAGTGTCCCTCGTCAATAACGATGTAAATTTTATACTTTTATCCGCTGATCCTGTGACAATTGCGGTGACATGTGAGTAGGCGTATTCGTTTTCTCCTTCGAGGAAATTGGTGATTGGAAGGTTTTGAGTGCGTACCGAAAGAATATTTGCATCGTGAATTTGATTAAATGTGTCATACAGGAAACGCGGAATATTTTCATTGCCTGATTGATTTAATTCCTCCTCAATTTGCCTGTTTATTTTAATTGGTGGAGAAAGAATTTCTGGAATTAGAGTCGATCAAATAATTTTTAATGCAAGTTGAAATCATAATTAAATTACCGTTGCAAACTGAGTTTTCCCAATCGATCGGTCATACGAGAAATCAAATGTTCATCAACAAGATCAATCAGATTTTTTTCCGGTGATTGCCGAAATACCTCGCTGTTCTCTATAATGACTTCTGATGCTTCTTCCCGAAAAGCATTCAGAGTTTTATGATATTTGTTCAATTCCAAAAATTGGAGAACCAACGAATGAGCAAGTGGAAAAGCTTTTGACGGCATTCTGAAAGTTTATGGTTTAATTATTTGTGTATGGTTTGGTATAGGTGTTACTTTTTATACGCTTCTATATGGGTCAGTGATATGTCTATGAGGGCAGTAAAGAAGCGCATTGACCCCTTCATATAAGAAAAATGTTGAACGATCTTCATATGATCTACAGCCACGATCGCGATGTGCAATTATCTTTAATCACCTTTTTCGAAATTATCGTTATACAATACAATAGAAAAGACAACAAGAAAATTTATCATCATATTGTCTTTTAATAATAGGATTACTAGAAAAGAAAATTTCACGCACACACAAAAACGCACGAATTTTGTCCGTATTATGTCTATCTCTTGCTTGAATTCCCTTTTTATCTCCGTGAAACCTTTATGTAGGGCAAAAATTTATAATAATTTCTTTACCTATTCTTCTTGTTATTATCGTAATATTATCGTTTTTGGGAATCTAAAAAACAACATGATATCAACAAAAACTTTGAATGATGCAAGAGAAAATGTAAAGTCTATATCAACACTTGTTTCAAATAAATATATTGTTCCGTCTCCTCTTTCTTCCCTACCTCACGCTTCCCGTTATCTTAACCTATATTGCACGACACAACGTAGTGCGTATGTGACACAAGCGATAAATGCTAAATCCTTTAAGAATAATAATAACAACAATAATAATAATATCATCAAAAACATTTTACAATTGTTATCCATCACACGTTCAACGAGTCAGACACAACGACATTACGTGACAAATCGATTCAGCAGAAATCTAATATGGCCGAATCGAAGAAAAGAAATAAACTCAAAATTGATCATCGGAGGAATTATTTTAATTAATGCCGCAGTATTTGGTGCTTGGAAATACGCCATGTTTCTTGGTCAATACTATCGTGATTGGAGGCTTTACTCTTTTATGACAAAGAATCTGTTAATGGGTATTAATAATATAAAGGCGGGAAGATGGTGGACAATGATCACTGCAAATTTTAGTCATTCTAATCCATGGCATCTTGTCCTGAATTGCTTTGTCTTTTGGAGCTTTGGACCAGCAGTAAGTCTGATTTTATCTAACATTTATTTAATTTCATGATTATTTATTTTTAATGAATATTTTGTCATGATGATATATTACAGATTTTGGGACTTATTGGAGTAAAACAATTTGTACTGGTTTATCTTGCCTCTGGATTAAGCGGATCTCTAGCACACTTATTCTATCATTATAAGATTAGACCAAGAACAATCGATCGACGTTTTTTACCCGTAACTCATAGTCAAGGCGCTTCAGGTATGCTAATCCTTCAATTTTGATAAATACATAGATATACTCTGAATATTTCATCGTCTTTTCATGAATAGCCTGTGTAATAGGAATCATCACAATCTTTGCACTAAAAAATCCATTTGAAACTGTCATCCTATTCATCATACCGATGCCTGCCATAGCAGCAATTGGATTGTTTGCTGCCTACGATATTTACAATTCTTGGCATCCTGGGAGAAATTTAGTTGATTCGTCTGCACATTTAGGTGGTGCACTGTTCGGGGCACTTTATTATTGGACGAGATTACGGCCGAAAACGAGAGGTATTATTCGTGCCGGACGATTCAAGATATAATATAGTTTATATGTTGTCGTCGGATCTTAGATTTAGGTTATAGCAATGTACGTAATCTCTAATTCGGTAAAGTGTTTTTAATGATAATTTCATAATTTCTGCATTTTGCTCTTCATTATAAAAGCATTTGGGATTTAAAAGTACATAATTACAATCATTCAGCAAGTAATAAATGCTTAGAACTCTTAATTAATTAACTATTTATATCATTATATTATTCTACAACACCCGACAAAGATCTCTTCTTCTCACTTACACTCCCATCTGCATTCCCAAAATACACAACATCCGTCATATCAACAAACAACCCAACTTCCACTACACCAGTCAATAATTTAATTTTCCGCAACAACTCTCCCGGGGAATTCACCAATCCAAAATAAGCATCAATCACAAGATTTCCATTATCTGTGATTACGGGACCAGCTTTCGCTTTTGCCATACGTAGCGTGGGATTCTCGCAGCCAAGCTTTTTTAGTTCTGCGATGACGCGTGTGTGGGCAAATGAAATTACTTCAATTGGGATACCCTGTTTCCACTATTATCATCATTTAGAGTACGCGATTATTGATACAACGCGTGCAAAATTATAGCTTGATATTAAAAGAATTTATTGGCACAATATTAAATCTACCTTTTCACCAAGCGTCTTTGAATTTTTTCGATAATCAGCAACAATTATAAATTTCTTTGCTGCCTCCGCAACAACTTTTTCGCGTAAATGACACCCACCGCCACCTTTAATCGCATTCAGATTTTCGTCTACCTTATGAATCGATTAATGGAAAAATTGTGTGAAAATCATACATCGAGATGTTCATTGAATTTATATTACCTCGTCTGCACCGTCAATCGTTACGTCAATTTCAGGATATCTGTTATTTAATGGAAAATGAGTCAAATTAGATGGAAACGATAAATTCAGCGCTTCTTTTCTTTTGACTAATCATCGACCATACTTACTGGTCAACATCACCCAACGTCAGCCCATTATGAACAATTAAATGTCTACTCTGAAAGCTTGTTGGAATAAAAACAAAATTCGCGTTCGCCTCTTTTCCACGTTGTAGTAACCGTTCTACCACGTACTCTATTGTCGAGCCTGACCCAATTCCGATCAATCTTACAGAGTTGGTAATGTGATGGTCAACTGCTTGGTACGCAGCTTTACGTTTAACTTCTTCTATTAGAGAAGACATTGCAGTAGTGGAGTATGGAGAAGCAAAAAAGTTGGAAAGAAACGGTCTTGATGTTCTGTATTTTAAGAAAGATAAGATGTGATGAGATAGCATTTGAATTTGCATGTGACAGACAGACTTGATGCTAGTTTAATTTCATCGGGTAAATTCTAATTTCTACGCCAATTTAGTTCTTGAACTAATCATAATTGTGAATCTTGAATTGTTCATTTGGCAGAAAAACTATAACGATAAGTTTAAATCAATAACCCTATTTTATAATAAATGTAATCAGGTATCTTTTACAGAATGGATATTTTCATTTTCTTTCATAATGGAAAAAATATAGCAACGATTCCGGAATAATGAAAAACTATAGTAATTATATATTGTTGTATATCTGAATCACAAATTAACTGAAAAATTTAATTGTCATTTTTTCTTTGATCAGTATCAGTATCACTATTATTTTTATTTTCATTATTACCACCAATTACACCACCACCAAATCCACTATTGCCGTCTCCACCACCTCTTACCCACTCATCAAATGCTCGCTTTATATTATCCTGCACCAAATAAACAGCATCCAATCGTTGTACACTTTCATAAAATCGTGTGAAAAATGCCGTCTGTGTTCCATCATTCCATGATTCAACGTATCTCTTTGCCAATTCATAACCAGGAGTGAATGCTCGCGTTATTACACGCCTAGTGGCTGTCTTGGTATTTTCAAATTTTTCGCCGAGATCAATTTCGTATTCTTTAGTAGTTTTCTGAGGTGTCCGATTTTTAGAAGATTGTGCTTGATCTTGATCTTGATCTTGTGCAAGAGGATTTGTGTTATTAGAAGGCGTATGTTGAGTACTATCTTTCATTTCTTCAGTATGTGATTGACATGTTTCTGCACCTTTAAAATACGCCAAATGATAACCATCTAGAAAATTCCAACGTGATCGATGATATGGATGTTCTCTTGATGTCTTTTGATCAACACCATCTTTCTCTTCTGGATTGCTATTTTCATCTCTGCTGCCACCATCACTCTCACTGCTTTCACCATTCACAAACACTTGTTTTTCTTTCACTTTTTTACGTCGGAGACAGAACATCCGGCAGTCGGGTTCTTTTCCCTCGTTCCTATGCGTGTCTTTTTGTAGGCACCATTGTAGACACATTTCGTCTAGCTTTGGTTTTTCATTTCCCGACGAATTCAAACTGGGGTTTGTATTACGGTTATTATTACTATTGCCAGGTACTGTAGAATCATAAAAGTTACGAAGATATGAACGAAAACCAAAGATAGAGGGTGGTGTCGGAAGATTAGAGACTGTATGAAGCGAGTTATTTGGTAGCAAAGAAATATTTCCTTGCTCGGAATCAGGAGCTTGTTTTTTTGGTTGAGCTTTTGTACTTTGTTCTGTTTGCTCGCTTGTGGGTGTCATTATGAAGAATGAAGAATAGCTTGACGAAACAAGATTTGACGAACTTACCTAGTGTCGCCCGGAAAAATGGTAGCTGGATAGATTTTCCGTAAAATACGTGACTTTGGATACCATTTATTGGTAGCTACCATTTTTTGTGTTACTGAGTCACGATAAGGACACTTGTTGATCACCGAAAATATTGACACTATCGCTATAAAACGTCCTTTTATTTAAGTTCACCATGTTGAATTCTATACCATAGTAAAATTTTGAACACAAGTGATTGTTTTACAAGCTTCGAAAGATGACCTGAATTTCCGAAATATCGTTCGTGAACTTTGAACGCGAAATTCGCCGCATTAACGCACAAAATACTAATAATAAAGAATGTTTTTTCAGAATCAATTCCTATATGCCACACTCAATATAGTCACAATTAATTATGATTGCCATATTTGGGGAACATCTAAAGCCCGGTCCATCCGATAATCAGTCCGAAACACAAACCAATAAGGATGCGTAAATTTTTGATCAACTCGGCAAAACAAATTCGAAGCGCGAGCAAAACATGAAAAATAACGGAAAACAAATGCTTAAAATGATCTTGATCACAACTCTAGCCTGACCCTAAACTCTAAGCTTAAAATCAATCTTTAATTATATAGTCGTGTGTCACGTGATGGACCAGGCTTTAGACGTTCTCTATGTAAGAGATAGTATTCTAGCCATGGGAAAAAATGTACCGTTCACGTGATCTAAAATAGATCCATTAAAATATCCGATTAATATTAAATATGAAATAGATTGCAACAAAACCAGACAAAGTGAACATTTAAATATGTGAGCTACAAATGGCTAATGTGACTGGAAAATTAATTAACATTTTGGAAAAACTTTGATTTAATAATATAACTTTAATTCATATATAACCTATAAATTAATTTTTCATTACATTTTTAAATTTAATCATAAAACTTTTTACTTGAAGTTATAACATGCTTAATATAGAGTTATCTTCATATAAAAATATATTAAATTCGCTATAAAATCAAAAAATTACAACATTATTAAAAGTATTTTAAAGAAAGAGCAAAATAAAAAAATTGCTTCATATATATTTAAAATAAACAATAGCAAAACTCTTCAGAAATATCTAGATAAAGAAAAAATCACTTATGAAATTTATCAAGAAGAGTGAAAAATAATAATTAATAAATGAGTATTATTACCAACTTATAATAAATCAAAAAAAAACAAAAAATAGAAACACAAAATAATTATTAATAAAAAACCAGACATTTTTTTTACTTTATCTAAAATAAATTAATTTTGATAGTTAAAATAATCAATTTATATAATAGAAAGTAACCAAGAATTTTCTTAACCTTTAAATTATTTCCTTACTTTTAATCAAGATCATTTTTTAGTCTCTATAACTTCAATTTGAGCAAATTAATTGTTCTGAGTTTTTAACCTTTTAACTTTTTTGTAATTATCATTCTCTTCTTCTAATTGCTTAACCTTATTCAGTAACTCTTGCTTCTGTCTTTTATTTTACTCTTCAAACTTTTCTTGAAATTTGACTACAGTCAAATTCCTCTATAATCACCACCCTCAGAAAAGTAAAATTTGGTGACTATAGAGGAGATGTAACTATAAAGAAGTTTTTTACTATGGAAAAACAAAAGGTAACTATAAAGGAGTGTGATTATAAATAGATGTGACTATAGAGAAATTTAATATGATAAATTAATGCTTTTGGTAATAAATAAATTAAATAATACAATAAATAATATACAATAAATAAATTCTATACAATGTACCATATTGTAAATTACCCAAAATCGCAGTTTTTGATTTTTTTATTACAGAATATTTTCTCGATAATAAAAAAATATGCAAAATTAACTAATCTGGTGAATTTTCTGTGGTGTTAATACTGTTCATACTTGTTTTGTTTGTTTCACAATTCACGAAAAGTTGTGTAACTTTTAAAAAACTTAAAATTTAATACTTTCTTGCTAATATTAAAGTATTTAAATAAACGTTATAATAAAAGCGAAGAAAGCAATCGTTCTGCTTGGGAAGAGAGCGCGTGGAAAAAAAAGCGAAGAAATAATAGGAGATATTATGCGACACGAATTACGAACTGTCATTGGTTACCTCACTTAGATTACGAAATCGTGTCTAATTTGTTTATGTTGGTGGAACCGTCAGACGGATATTTGACAGTTGCGCCACATCATCGGCATAACCTGGCACATTTCAGACATGCAATTTTATCACCTGATTATATAATATTTCAGGTGGGGTGATCCTTATAATAAATTGAAATCATCTGATAAAAGTCACTTCCCTTATCAAAAAATATAAATCATTAATTTCTGACGTATCGTTATATTACTTTTCTGGCACCGCCGACATCATTATATTATCTTCGCTCATTTTATTATATTACTCTCGTATATATATTGATATATATATATAAAATATAGTCTCTCTCTCTGTCTTAGCTAGCTTATGGTAAAGCTAACTACTTATTATTTTATATAGACTTATTCTTTTAATAGGCAGAACCTGGAAAAAAATGAAATTGCAGAGAAATTCACGAAATCAACTATTTTACTTTACACCTGCATTCATTCTCTTGTTATTCATTATTTTTTGCTTGACCCCAAGGACTCTTACATTGTCTTCGCCGAGCCAGTTAGCAACGACGCATCAAGGATCGGGGGAGGAAGAGCCAGAAGCTAATAATGTTTCTGAGGACCCAAATTACTGTGCTGTACGTTTTCGAAGATCTCATTACCTTTATAAAGCCTTTGTTGGACCAATTTCGTTAATAAAAAAACGCTCGATTGTATATTTTTATTTTATCCTTCCCCTTGTACCTTGTTAAATATATAGCCTTCAGGTCTCATTAGTGATGCCTGCTGTGATTATGAAACCGTGGATCGAATTAATGCAGATATTTATCCAAAACTACATGAGCTCATAAAAACCGACTTTTTCAAATACTACAAGGTATTGTGTATTATCATTATTGTCCATATGTTCTTTGAATTATATATTAACATTTTTGTAATGAATTTGATCTAGCTTAATTTATTTAAAGAATGTCCTTTTTGGATTGAAAATGGCCAATGTATGAATCGTGCTTGTTCAGTAGAAACTATGGATAAGGTTAACAATTATTTTTACTTTAGACACTTGAATTTTTTAACTTAATTTTAGTTAACATTTTAATAATATTTTGGACAGACTGACATACCGGACATTTACAAGAGTGATGTGCTTGGTGCATTAAAGACTTCACCTGCCGGTCCGGTACTTAATTTTGTTTCTTTAATTATCTATGCATTTTGTTGTTAATCAGAGATGAATATTGCATTTAAAATTCAATTGCATTTGCTTATTCAGCTTTTTCAGCCTTTTGAAAAATGCGAATTCACGGACCGAGATTTTTGTGTGGTCGAGGATGAAAACGATGTTGGCAAGTTGATGCTACAATATTTTTTCGCGTGTATATTTATTCCATCATAATAACCCAACCCAACTATTTAATTATTTTTTATTAGAGGGTGTCTTTGTCAATCTACAAGACAATCCTGAACGATTCACCGGCTATGCTGGACCATCTGCCGGTCGAGTCTGGAAATCGATATATGAAGAAAACTGTTTTAATATCGTGCACCAACTGGACCCGTCACGCAAAAACAAAATTTCTCACACTTCATCAATAAGCAAAAATCAGTTATCGAATATAATGTCAAGCATTGATCAAAATGATGATGAAAACGACAGTGATGATGTCTGTTTTGAAAAAAGAGTTTATTACCGTTTGATATCAGGTTAGCCTTCGATCTTTCTGGGACCCTATTGGGTAATTTGCTCATTATTTTAACTATCGGAGAATTCTTGTACTAGGACTCCACTCTTCTATATCTATACATATATGTGATGAATATCTAAACCAAACCACCGGAGAATGGGTATGTAAGTATAGTAACACAACAGCCACCAACATACTTAATACAATTTTTTTATCTTATCTTAATAAAGAGACCGAACCTTGATTGTTTTATTTCTCGTATCGGCTCTCACCCAGAACGAATTCAAAATGTTTACTTCAACTACGTTGTTCTCTTACGAGCAATCTCAAAGTTGTCTCCCTATTTAAGGGGATACGAATTTTGCGCAGGCGGTGGCAGGGATGAAGATACAAAAGTAAAGAATATGGTCACCGAGCTTACGAATGCTGCAGTATCTTGTCACGGAACCTTTGATGAGAAATTAATGTTTGCTTCTGACGAATCTCGAGTAAGTCGAACAATATACTTCGATCTTCTTTTTTGGTTAAATATGAATATTAAACTTGTGAATTCTGTTTTATAGTTATTAAAAGAGGAATTCAAAAATCACTTTAGAAATGTCTCTCGTATAATGGATTGTGTTGGATGTGATAAATGCCGATTATGGGGAAAATTGCAAATATCTGGTGTTGGCACAGCATTAAAAGTTCTTTTTTCATACGATGATCAATATCTTAAGTGAGTAATTGCTCTTTTCTCGATTTTTGTCCTGTCAAGAATAATAGTATTATTAACAACGTTGAAAATATGATTATTTGAATCTATTAGTCCATCTTCGAATCCAAATCTACTAACTCGAACCGAAATCGTAGCTCTTTTCAACACATTTAATCGATTTTCCGAGAGTATCATTGCAATAAAACGATTCCGAAAACTGTATCACGAACGTGTGAAAGCTCAAACTAAAGACCATACTGATGACATAACTACTACTGCAACTACAACTTCCGCCTCCACGAAAACAAATAACACGTCACAGCAACCTACGCAACTTACGGCGCATCACCACATTATCGAATTCGTATCCTCACTTAAAGATATCATCATTCCATACGCGAAAAGTTTGTCAACCTTCATAATTCGCCAACTCGAACATTGGCATATTCCCATGCCGTCTGGGATCTCAGTCATAGATTAATTGCGATGAATTATTTATTATATTCTTTGAACACGACATTTAGTTATTTTTATCGTTAGTATATAATCAAATTTTGATGTAAATAAACGTGTTAGAGGTAAAATTTTTTATTAATTAAATGCGTTAATTAATTTGCAGAATTTGATAATTCAAAGTTATATATATAATAAATGAAGCAGTTATATATGAGATGCCTTTTCAAACTTGTTAGCTTATGCCCGAAAAGTCACGGAAATTAGAAAAAGAGAAGCCAAGTGATATATAATGTGTGCGATATAAAATTATAATTTATATTCAAATAAATAATTGTTATTTTCATCTATATTACTTTTATGATCAAAAAAAATTTAACGTGTGTCATCGTTGTTAGAGTTATTAGTATTACTATTCGCGACAGATGCTCTGATACTAATTGACGCGTCTTTCAAAGTTTTTCCTGATCCTAATAAAAATTCCATTTTCATTAGAAAAATCAATTAATCAACTAGCAACAATACTTGGAAAAAAAATACTAACCATCTATTGAATTCAGAAATCGGACCAGTTCAGTACACAGCTGAATTTTAACAACAAACGTTAGGATATCATAAGACTTATAAACTCAATAAGATTAAAATCATTCAATTTTTACATCATAATCTTCGGTTTCCATCGCTCTTGTGAGCAAACGGATTGTATCCTCGCTACTATGTGCTGTAGGTTCAAGAGTGTGCAAGACCAAAAGATACGAAGTGGCAGTTTTCAATAATCCAGTAGTCATGCATTTCTTTTGAACGTAAGTATCGTTAATGATTATTTTCCCAAATTACGAAAAATCATATTTTTAATCCTATTAATATTCACCTCAAACAAATCTTTAGGACTTCCGACAATCGAGAATAGATAATCCCACAACGCCACTTCTGTTTTGCGAGCACACCCAACAATCACGTCTAACGCGTGCGGGAAATGATTTAGAAATCTTATGACGCGAGGTAAAACTGCACCTGGAAAAAAAAATGATAATTTATCGATTATCAAAATCTGTAATATTTGCTGTATAAAAAAAATGGTTGGATCATTAAATTTGGTAATATATTTTATTTACCTTTTGCTTTCCCTATTGAATTCTCAGCTTCATCTTCCAGCACTTGATGTAAGAGAACTTCAAGTGCATGTCCAAAATATACTAGTTTTTGGTAACTTGTTGCAAATGCTACTGCTTCATCCTCAAGTCTATAATGTAATATATAATAATGTGAGTATTCATGTGTATACAAAAATAAACGCAACATAACAGGTAAGAGGAAAATAATCGAGATAGTTACTCTCGTGTTAACATATATCGTATGATATACTGAAGGAATAAATGTGTCTAAAAAGAATATGAAATGACGCGTAAATATATCAACTTAAACTTAAGAAAGAATCATAAAGCTTTACTTGCATTAGTAGCCAATTTGAAAACAGCAAATTCTAACGATTGGCGAATAGACGTTTGTTGCTCAACACCCACAATAATTCCCTTATCGAGAAGAACAGCTAAAAAATTTATAATTCAGTTCATTAATAAACACAGTCACAATGAAATAAATAATAATAATATTATTATTACATAATGGATAAAACTCGAGCAAAATATGTAATCCTTCTTTATTGGCCGACAACAAAACATCATTCTGCCAATCCTTTGCTTTTTCTTCTTGTGACCAAATATTCATCCATATCTATTATATATATTAGATTCAGTTATTTTTTAGATATTCAAATTAAATGGAAATTCAATTCACATATACCATTAGACTCACTTTAACTCCTTGCCCATCACAAGCCCATAACGAGTTTTTTAAGCTTCCCACGCCACGATTCGCCATCCAGTAAAATTCAATTTTATCAGCGAGAACGTGCAGATCGTATTGCACTTCACCAGCATCACTCTTTTAAAAATAGAAATAGAAAATTAAAAGAGAAAAAACGATAAAAAGATACAACAAAGTAAATTGAAAGGAAAGGAAAAAAACCTTTTGAGGATGCAATAACACTAGCTTTCCATCAATTAAAAATATGATTGATGCAGTTTGCATATTATCCGGAGTAAAAGACTCTAAATTGATACAATAAGAAAAAATCCAAAAGGTTGCGTTGCATATACAAAAGTAATAAAATACTTTACTGTGAGATTTAGGCTGAAACCAAGAAATCGATCTAACTCTCGCAGGCGCATGAATAACTCCAATAAAAGAAATCTGCTGACATAACGCAAGCCCAACTAAATTTCCACTAGCACTACCAGCAGTTTCCGATGTCAACAAATAATGATAAATCATATTATCGCCGCAGTAAGCGAGTAACGCGTTATCCAGTAAACTCAGATAGAGTATGTTACTGGGTACTTGAACATTCTGGATCATGTAAATGTTGTCTAATTTTGTTTCTCGTGAATACATTCTAATCTATTTTGTTATAATTAAATTATAAGAACATTGAATGTTTAATCTTTTCAACTAAATGAATTATTAATTTCTTTACCTCGTTTGTGTGTGTCCTTAGATTGTCGCATGCAACCACTAAAATATGTCTAAACCATAATAATCCACCGCGTACTGTAAATTCTTGTTCCTTAAGAATATATCATGATTACTTTTTAATAATACGTAATACATTACTATAGAAGGTGTTATTGACAAGAAAGAATACCTGTTGCTGGTTTCCAAAAAGTTTCCACCGATCCGAGGATACATTATAATGTGCTAAACCACGACGACCAGAAACAGCTATATATCTACCATCACCACTTATAGATGCATACTATTGGATGTAAGGAATTTAAATTTAATAATAAAATAATATTTCAAAATTATATAGACAAGTCGTAAAAAATATATTTTTGATACCTTTATAGGCCAATTATCAGTAATGTACATATTTGGTATCTATATTAATGAAAACATTTGAAAATGGAATTACTATTATTATTATTATTATTAAAAAGCACTTTACAGTTGACAACAAAATACCGGAATATGCTGCCAAACAATTGTGTCCGGATTAATCGCACTCAAATCTTCCTGGTCTCCGCCATGATAAAGTAAAAGCCGATCATCCATTTGCAAGAATCCGCGTTTCGCGTTATCGGGACTATGAAACCCCGTAACAGCGGATTTTACAAATGGTAAACTGTATATTTGACTTTCTAATTTTTTTGAAATATGATTTGTTTAGTTATGTCATATATTAAATACAAATATATAGGTAGATAGATTAGGAGTAAGCGTTATTGTTTACCGTTGTCCTTCCGTTTCGTGTGTAGTATGAAAAGCTCATAATCGCCAACACCCCAAAACTTTGAACATTAGTATAATAAAAAATAATAGAAAATCAATATTTAAATTATGAAAAATGAAAATAAAAGTTCATCATTGTCAAATTACCAAATTATCAATACCACATAAAAATTGATCTTGAAAATTATTAGGCCTGATTATTTGATTAATAAATTATTTGATTAACAAATGATAGATATAAATACATAATAAATAATATATTGATACGATTAATTTTATTAAAGCTTACAATGACTGTGGTCCATCCTCACTTATACTGGTCATAAGTAATCTTCCATAAACACTCCATAAAGCCAGTCCTTCATCTCGCCAACCAACAGCCACCGCGTAACCATCTGAAGTCCACGCGATTGATGTCACAGGTCCTGTGGATATTGGTATTTTGCCATTAAGAATAATATTGAAAATAAAATTAAATTGACCGAGTAAAATAATAATAATGAAAAAAGGATATTAGACGCTGATTCTAAATGATCCAATAACGATAGCTTATGAGAAAGGTGTATGCTTCCATTGTAATTCTTTGCGAAATAGACATATACAATTCCGCTAAATAAATACACATAAATTATATCAATACAAAATTAATTCATAAAAAAACAAGATATACATAATTACAAATAAATAAAAAAACATACGATTCAGTACCAACAGCCAATAACGAAAATTTTGCATTTATGGCGATAAAAGTGGCTTTTGAAAATTCTTCAGCATGAAAAGAAAATCCTGCCCAAAATAATGGTGAATTTTTTACACCCGCTGGCTTATTTATTTTAGTTTTGTCAGATATAAATGTAAATAATGATATAGAAAGAAGTAAAAAAATTAACAATGATAATTATAATAAAATGTTCAACATTTTAATAATAATGATGATAATGCGATTAAAAAATTATATCAGATAACCTTACAGGAGTTGGTGGCTTTTCGTTGAACTGCACAGCATATGCTCGACCATCAGATGTTATCCATCCAAAAAGACTGATCTTTCGATCATATACTATACGCGTAATTCCTAATATATAAAGTAACTAAACTCATAAGATTTAATATACACTTTTGTGTATCAAATCGATGTTCCCGCAACTAGTAAACTTTTTTCGAACAAAAAATCTACGTACCTTTTTTAGAATGCAGGAAATCAAGTCTAGCCAAAATGTTAGTCTTTGTTGCCCCAGGTTCTGCTTGCCACGGTATGCATTGAATAGCGGGTGGGTTTTTTGTGGTAACAATTAAATAATCTTCAGTTCCAATTGCCCTTTGTAAGTATTCAATTTCCATCCGTCATTTCATTAATAATCAGCTCTCAACAGTTTAATATCATTGTTAAATAAGTATCTACACTTACATCTCCATTCCGGCATCTATTCTAATAGTCATCCTAAATTTTAATAAATAAGTTTTGACTCCATTTCCTTCGCCAGCACCAGTTGTATAATGATGGGAAACATTTCCAAATTGGTATTTATAGCTCTTATCGTCAAATGGTATTACGTTATAAGTAAAAAGACAACTTTTGGAAGTCTAGGAAAAAAACATTATTTTGTGCAAATAACAAGAGTTATTCAACAGACAGTGACGTAAAAATTCAATTCATCAATTATTGGTTAATTTAATTCATAAAAATTTACTTTAATCGGGAAAAAAATAAAACCTGAACAACGACAAGACTTCCATCAGGTTTCCAGAGTGCATTTTGATTCTCACCATATTCTTCGATGGATTTTTTGGTACGGGATACTTGGCTTATTAGGACGATTGGCTATTTATTTATAGTGATATAAATCAAATGATGCAAAGAAATAATTATCAAATTATTATCATTATATATTTCTTATATTTGGCGCAATCCGGTTAATCCCATTGAATCTTTTCCAATAATCAATATTAACATTAAAAATGTTCGTAAGCGTTCACTTTAATTTCCTTCTTTATTTTTTTATATATAAGGTAAGAAAGCACACCCAACTCCATCAAGCTTTCGGTTCTATATCTAAAAAATATTCAGTTTACCCGAAATCCCCAAAGTTGTAACGAAGTGCTTGTTAAAGTGACAAACAAGTTTCCAGATTTATTCCGAATCAAAGCCAAGATTTTTGGCTGGTTCGGCGAAGATCCTGTTTGATCTGTAGAGCTCTCTAGCTCTTCTTGCTCATAGGTTTTTTGTGTCAACGGCGGTAACTCTAGAACTTTTGCCGTACCACTAGCCCAATACATGATTGCGAAACTGACAATCCCGAAAATGAAAAGCGAAAGTCTGTTTTTTCTAATTTATGTTGTATCACGTGATTTTAAGTTTATTTGCTCATTGTTCAATTAGTCCATTAGCAGATTTAACGGGTCAATTTTGAAAAAAAAAACTTAATTGATTAATTGATACAACCAAAAATCGACTGACAATAAACTTTTTTATAATTTGAATAATTGTGAGCATTTTTGCAATACTTCGACTAGTCTCATTTTTAAAGTTACAAAGACCGTTGTCAAAGACGACGAAGTACGTTTACAAGTAGGAATTGATAATTCCGTTTGTTATTTTCATTTCCAGTAAAAAGTAACGTATTTATATAGTAATGTTAATAAAAATGTTTATGATAAAGACCAAAACACATAATTCGTCCAAATCAGCTTTTTTGAATGTAAAATTTCATTTTCTTTGATTTTCCACTGTATTAAAGTTCTTTTCCGTTGCTCAATATATCTTATGCGACAACTATTGCACATTCGATACAGGTTGGAGACGCTTTCTGTAATTACAAGTTTCAAATTCGCTGTGAAATTTAAATAAAAGCTTTACAGTCAGATATTTTTACTGTAAATTGAAAAAATACTGTTGCACTACAATTGCAATTTCCAAATTTATGCCTTTTCGATTCACTATGTGCGTGTGACATTTCTGGTGAAGTTAAATCATGTTCGTGTGTATTTTAATCTAAGCAAAATTGACAATGCCACGCTTAGAATTACTCGCTGAACTCAAAGGTGAAACTTCATTTCATTCTATGATACTTTTGTACCAAAAATTTCGCACTTCTACTTCCTAATTCTTTATAGGACACACCGATCGTGTATGGTCAGTTACCTGGTCACCAACTAGTAACATACTCGCCAGTTGTGGAGGAGATAAAACTGTTCGTTTATGGACCCCGACAACCTCAGAACTTTCACAATGGACCTGTACTAATGTTCTAGAGGGAGCACACACGAGAACAATACGAAGTGTCGCGTGGAGTCCTAATGGACGTCATTTAGCGACTGGTAGCTTTGACGCCACAGCTGGAATTTGGGCGCGAGACGAAAATGGAGGTATTGATAGTATTTCACATAGACTTTTAATTTTTTATCATTTGATCCAATGTTAATTTAGGTTGATATTTATTTAATAGAATATGAATGCGTGGCTACATTAGAGGGACATGAAAATGAAACAAAAGCTGTGTCGTGGTCCACGTCTGGTACACTTCTTGCGACCTGTGGGCGTGATAAAAGTGTCTGGATATGGGAAGGTTAGAGTTTTTTTTTATCAATTGATTAAACAACAATATTTTTACCGGTTATACTTGAATTCTAGTGGGGGCCGATAATGATTTCGAATGTATTAGTGTGCAACAAGAACACACACAAGATGCAAAAATGGTTATATGGCATCCATCAGAAGAAGTAAATTTTTCTTAATTATTGTTCTCTGCCAGTTTTACAATTCGCTATTTTTCTAATCAAAATTAAACAATAGTTATTAGCATCGGCAAGCTACGACGATACAATAAAAATATGGAAAGAAGATGAAGATGATTGGTATTGCTCTGATACGCTGGAAGGACACGAAAGCACTGTTTGGGCAATTGATTTCGATAAATCTGGTGATTACTTAGGTAAGATGCTTATTTTTTATTAGTTCATCATTTTTGTATTGGAAGATTAATACTTTTTTTTACTACTGTCACCTATAAAAAGTGTCAGCATCAGATGACAAGACACTAAAATTTTGGAAAAGATATTCACCCGACCAAGTAGATGGTAACATTGGAAAACATCGAGTCGACCCAAAATGGAAATGCATGTGCACGTTGAGTGGACATCACCAACGATGCATATATTCAGTTTCGTGGTCAAAAGTTCACGGGCTTTTGGCAAGTGGTAGCGCAGATAATATGATTCGAGTATTTGAAAGGGTGTCTTCATCAACAATTACTATTCCTGATAATACCACTGATATTGTTAGTGGTACAATGAACAATTTTGATAATGCCACTATTTCTAATAATAATGATAGCAATGATGATACACTGAACTATACAGTGGTCGCGTCAATATCATCTGCACATGGCGTTGCTGATGTTAATTGTGTACAATGGCATCCATCTGAAATACATGATAATTTATTGGCTAGCGCTGGTGATGATGGGATTGTAAGAATATGGAAATATTGTAAAGAATAATAATAATTAAACGAGAAATTTTACTTATAAATGAGGTGGTGTGACCAACACAATATAGGAAGCAGATCACATGTAATTCCGATCATACCAATTAAATCAGTTACTTCGATTTTTTTGGTAGGTCTAAATGTTACATAGAAAGCGCGTCAACCATATCGTATCTAGTATCCTAGCCACGGCGAAAAAAAGTGTTATTCACGTGATGATAATCATATCCGACCAATAAGAATGTGCAAAAATATGTATAACCAATAGAAATGTAGCAAATTTTTGATCAGTCCCGGAAAATGAAAAATGCAAAAAATGCACAAAATACAAAAAAACAGATACCTAAATTTATCTTGGAGCACTATTAAAAAATGTCAGTAAGACAATTTTATATATAACTTTTGCTCGAACCCTAACCCAAACTCTAATACTACCTTTAATATAAATCGGATATTTCAATGGTCCTGGTCGTCATCACGTAATCGACACTTTTTTTTCGCCGTGACTAGTAGAATCCTAGCCATAATGAATAAAATATACGATGTTACAACGCTTAATTTCTTAATTATATATCCAATATATTTAATATCCAATATATGCTTTATATTTAATGGATTGGATTTAGATCTTTGTATTACATTTAGTACAATTTAAAAAATGCAAAAAAATTTTAGATGTTCTAATATTATTAAAATTGATTTTATTTGATATTAATTAATAAAATAATTAAAAAAATTTTTTTAGAACATGTTATTTCTTGAAATTTTGATTATATTACATATAGTACAATGCAAAAAGTATTTTAATTATAAAATTACTAATTAACATCAAGTACAAAAACCAGTCACCAAAAAATCCAAGAAATTTTATTTTTTGAAAAAAAATTATAAAAAATATTTAATTATACAAAAATATAATTAATATATCGATATTGAATTAGTAAATAATTGTTATCAAAAAGTGTCACAATATAATACAATATACTATTAGTAATATAGGTAAATTCAATTTATTAATATATTCATTATATTAATTATATCAAAAAATTAATTATATCAAATATATTTGTTATATTAATGTATTTTAAAATTATATAAATACAATATAAATTAATTATTACAAAATTTAGCTAGTTAATAAATTGTCTTTTGTTTATTATTATATATTAATTTATACTTATAATATTATTAATATACTATTACCGTTTAAATGGGACTTTCAAAATACTCAAAGGTATTTATAAAATTTAAGAAATATTCAAAGGAAAACTTGAATGTCTTAATGACAATTCATAGTCTTAATAATATTTTATGACTTTAGATTGAATATGAATTTAAATACGACAAGTACTTATAGAATTACTTAAAGGTTGATAACAGTTGTGTTCTTTTAATACAATAACTGGACTGCTAAAAAGAGTTCTCAAAATCTCAACGTTAAATATAATATACGTATTAAAAACGTTTTTAAATCTTTGAAGTCAGAATATAAGATATAATATTTGTATTATTAATAATACGAATCAAAAATGAATATATTGAACAATGTATTATTAGCAATACAAAATCAAAGATAAGTTTATGAGCAATGTATTATTAGCAATACAATCTCAAAGACGAATCCACCAGGGTGACCTCCAAGAGTTCGGACCATGTGATAATTTTTTGATGATGTCAGTGATGATGACCAATTAAATTGCAAGATCAACTTGTAACATAAAAATTCAAAAATAAACAAAACAAAGACATATTTTTGAAAAAAAGCTTGTATTTCAAAATCTAACCTATGAAATTATCTAATGTGTTCTAATAAAAAATGTTCCTTGCGAAATTTTACTATATATTCATTTTTTGTTTGTCAAATAACCTTGATCCAGATCCAAATCCTAACTCTTTTCGCATCGTTGACATCATCAAAGAATTATCACATGGTCCGAACTTTTGGGGATCACCCTGGTGGATTTCTCAAAGACAGATTTATAAAATATAATAATAATTCCTTTATTTAATATAATATTCAATAGACTTTGTCACAACGTGTTCAGAAAGTCTAGGATAAAGATGATAACTTTATAGTGCTTCTGGCAAAACTGCTTAAGCTACTATAATATATGTTGATTCAAGGTCTGTATAACTTCTTATAAAGCTATTATACAAGAAATAAGAATACTTTGTCAAAAGGGTGTAGAGAGGAGTTTGCACTTGACTACCTATTTTACATAAAGTGCAAACTACTTTTCTTTGAATGATCAAAACTACGTGATAACTAATTAGACGTGATAATTGAAAATTATTATCTAAAAGAACTTGTTTATATCTAATTCTAATGACTACAATACATGTTGCTTTTATACAAATCCAAGATATAATTTCTAGGTTATACAAATTCATATTCGCTATATTACTTAAATTCTATTGGTTCAATATTCGTTCACTCGTTTGTTCGCTCGTTCACTTGTTTGCTCTTGTTCACTTGTTTGCTCGCTTGTTCACTTGTTCGCTCATTTCACGTGATATGATCTTTATCCAATAATATATGAGATATTTATAATCCAATAATAAAATATTATGATGAAAGGTCATTATACAACAATACTATTCTTTATTCATTACGCGAACATGTCAAACTAATTCTAATAAATTTTTTTATTTCTAGACGCATGCCATCACGTTATTTTACTTGATACAAAGAAGCATTCAGACTCTGAGTATGCTACCTTTGAATTTCGTACTAGAAAAATTTCCATTGCTGATATTGATTGTGAAATTCTTGATAAAATTCACAAGTTCCCTTTTCTCATTTAACAAATAATTATTAATGAAGTCTGTGTTGTTGAAAAGAGAATAGAACATGGCAAAGTGGCACCTGGTTTAATGTCATCTGATTACTATTGTCTATTCTTTCATAAATATCAGTTGTCCTGTTAATACATCTTTCATGAGCACATTTATGGAGCCAGGAAATTGTTAACAACTAGTATTTGGGAAAATTTTCAGCAAATATTTAAAGAGGATAAATTTGAGATATATGGACATCGCGAGTTAGAAGAGGTGGTGACATCTAAAACTGAAAGTGAGAGAACAGCCAAAAATTGATGATGGACTGTAAATGAGTTGATAGAAAGTACGAGAAATGCATATTGGTGAGTTGAGGAGAGAGAAACATTAATCAAACAATTTTATTTATGGAAAAATTGAAATTAAGTTTAAAATCAGTTTAAATTAATATATTTATTATTATATTTTAATTGATTTTATTATTACTATTGCATAATATTAAGTGATTTTTACAACAATAATTTTTTTACAATAATATTAAATGATTATTAATTAAAATCAGATTGAGTCTCCTTGAATGAAATAATAAGCAGATTTCAAGTCGATTGAAAGGGAGGATGCACTTTTTTCGATTTGAAGTTGCGAGATTTTTCAAACACCAAAATCAAAATACAGTGAGTACTGAATACAATAACATGATCAGAGGAAGAGATTTTGTGTTATTATAACAAGATGTTATCTTAAAGAGTGTTGCGTTTACTATATAAAAATGATTAAGCAAATACTATTAATTACAAACTCAATATCTCTTTATTTTCAAGAAATCATTTGTCATACTGATTGTTGTGAATAATCAACAAGAAATAAATCTAGTTCGTTAGTGCAAAAAAAATACTTTATTCAACATTAAAAAAAAATACTTTGCTCAACACATTACATTTTTTATATTGAAATTCTGATTACCAAGAACATGCTGTCAGCAGCATTACAAAGAAATAGCTCTTTTAAGACATTGCAAGTAATTTTGTAGGTACACACAAGTCAGTGTAAAGCAAAAAGGTTATTTTGATATTTATCATAGATTACATTACACACTCAGAAAATTGATTTCTGATTACTGGTAGATTGCTTTCTGAAATGAATATCAGCCACATTATTCCATGTCAGATCACATGGGTACCTTAATGCATCTCCAAATTAGGAATCAATCTATAGCTTATATCAGGGATAAAATCCAAATTAGAAAATTTGAGAAAAGTGATTGAAATAAGATCTACAATTTGGAATTTGGTGCTAGGGCGCAGTACTTGATGGTTTTTTCACTGTATATCACGGAAAATAAATCACGTGTGTGCATCGGAAAATCAGTTGAGTTTTTAGTACGCGTGTACTCTTTCTAAAAAATCTTTTATTTGGTTTTTTTTACAAAGCAAAGACTAGCCTTCACTTCTTTTGGCTAACAATTTATTAAGATGTCCTAAATTTTTCTCTCTTATTTTCATATGCTATTTTTCGTGTCGACGTGTCGGTGAAAAAGTCATTTGTAGTGTCGATATGTCAGTCATACTGCTTTTTGTATTTAAGGTCCCCTATACGCGTTGTGAAGTAACAATATTCTCGTAAGCTAATCAACCATGAGCACATCTAAATACCTTGGCTATGACGGTAAGTCTTGTTTGACTTTGCAATCTTCTTCCACTTGTGCTCTCACTAAGAGGCAAATTTCTCCTCAGTTTCTAATATATTTTGACTTTCTAGTTCTTATTTCCTACTTAAATGAACGAGAAAATCAGTCATACCGTGGGTTCTTGGACCTCCACCGCAATGTCATTGTTGCTTCATTAGTTTCAGATGACTGGCATGATCTTGACAATAATTGGGCCGACCATTTTTTGAGGGAAGCAGAGGTGCTGTTGGATCGAAAGACTTTCGTGGCTTTGAAGGAGAAGGTGCGTTTTTTTTATTTTGCAAATGGAAGGGCAGCTCCCAGTCGAGCGCGTTTTGACTCGGGAGAATTACTGGTGTTTGATACTGGTACCCACTCCAGGTGTTCTTAATCCAGGTGCCTATGTTTGTGCTAATAAAGGTCTACTGATTCTGAGGAGGAATTGGTTATATACCTTTATTATTAAATAAAATCAATGCACTGCTAACATTATTATTCCCATAATAGGTAAAATCTGAACGGTCTGGCATTGGTTTAAGAACTTATTGGAAGGGGTAATCGAGGAACGTGGAAGCGTGAGTAAATATATTATGAAACTCTTGTGTAATGGTTGTATAATTTGCTAAACCAAACCTATTTTTACTATAGAATTCTGCGAAACGAAAAAGAGCTGTGATCGAAGAAAAAGAAAACATTCAATCACAACCAAAAAAGAAACAAAAACAAACTTCAATTCTTCAGCAATTTTCAGAAGGGATTTCTTTATCAGCAATCATTCGTAATACGTTACCGAATCTGGTATACCTTCAGTTGCGACATAATAAATCGAAATCAAGTACCATATCTATTGAACAACGGTTTCCCGATGAGATTGCAAATTGGGTAGGGTTTAAAGAGGAAGTGCGAACGTGGCAGTCAGAGTGCGTGGATAAGAAATATAAAAAACCGATGTTTGGACCACGTACTATTACTTGCGAAAAAGATATATGGACGGCATCAGAAATAAACATTCACGACATCCTGACACCACTGGACAGATCAATTTGTTTTTTAGACGGTCGTGCTTTAGAAGGTACGGACGGACAACCGGATTTTATAGTGGTTGACGAAAATTATCAAATAATTGTGCCCTTTGAATACAAAACACGATGGGTTTTAAAGGTACCTTCGAATAAGAACATTGTCGCACTTTACCTTCGAGAGAAGGAAATTAGAAAGGGGAAATTTACAGGTTTCAAAGATACCTCGATTTATGATCCCATAAATCAAATTTATGGATATATGTGCGCTAATGAATTACGGTAAAAATTTCTGCTTTTATTTATGTTCAACATTGACAGTTTTAACAAGACAATATTATTCTTTTTTACAAAAAATAGTTATGGCATATCTTGTCAACATATGACCAAACGTGGTTTCTTAAAAGGGGGGTAAAAGAAAACCATGGGTGGTTGCATGTGTCGGACGCAATTACCAACACATCGACGGATCCTACATTGCTTAAATCTGTTGCCTATATAATTTTTGTCGCCTCTAATAACCGGTACTCGCCTTTCCTCGAAAAACCTGTGATGGTTGCTGTTGAAGAGTTATCTTCTG